CTTTCCGTATCAAAAATTATTTTTTCTTAAAAAGATTAACATTTTTGAAAAAAATTTGCTCTGAAAAATTAAATTTTTGAGAAACTATAAATTTTTACAAAAATTTACTTTTTTTTTTTTGAAAAAAAGACTTTTAGAAGAAAAGTGTATTTTAAAATATTTTGGAAATCCTGAACTATTTTTCAAAGCAATCGTACTGCTTTAACTGCATAGAGACGAAATATCGAAGCGCGTAAGCGCCGCGTTGCTGTCTAACGGATAAACACTGGTACGGAACCCATAGGAATGTAAACAAAATTTATACTTATTGGTAAAATCTCTATAAAATATCTGATAATTTGATGTGCATATGTCTAAGTCTAATGATCATTTTTGACCGCCATATGGCATTTTTTACTTTTTTTGCTAGATCTCCGAAACCGTTAGACCTACCTTCATGAATATTTGATCAATTCTTCATCTTGTTAATACAAGTAAAATGTTTTTTGAATTATTCAAATCGGACGCTCCGTTCTCTTAAAAACTGAGTTACTGTTTTTGGCACTTTTTGCCCCGTATCTTCGGAACGGCTAGACTTGCCTTTGCCAAAAACTAATCAGCACGTCTCCTTATCAATACGAATCGAATGTTTTTTGGATTATTCAAATCGCTTCATCCGTGTTCCCGAAACCGTCGACGAAAATTTGTATCTGAACACACATACACACACGCACACACACATACATCCAGTTTTTCTAAGGTATGCCAAAATATTCAGAAACCTTTGAAACGTAAAGATATTTAAAAAATTTCATGTTTGATTTTTTGCGATTATTTGGTGGTCAAACATGATCATTGGACATATGCATAAAAAATTAACAGCTTAGTTTTTACCATTACCATTATTTTTTCAGAGATTTTGATAATAAGGCTTACATTTCTTTGAGCCCCACACCAAGATTTATTAAGTTTAATGTTTGCTTTAATGTAGTTCAAACATTCCACGACATTGTGAACAGTATGAATCAATCGTATGAGCTTTGTCTGAATTGGCAAAGAAAAATATAGCAATTTGCCTTTAGGTACGATGCTATTCACCACTTGTTTGAAAATATGTATACTACCGCTTGCTAACAAAAAGCTTTTTTTTTTAAAGTGATTACCACTATATCGACATTACATGTCGTCAGTAATTTAAAGCTTGTGTTTAAAACGAGTTTAACTTTCCTAAATGTATCTCTTAACTATCCATTGCATATCATCTTTGCCAATACTAATAGCATTTTCATTGCAAAACGGTATCGGAAGTGATATAGTCCCATTGAGGTAGTCACCAACACACATCCATTGCTTAAATTTGATATGATAGAGAGCTACTCTACTCTGGTTCATTTGTGAGGACAAGAGAGAGTTAGGAAAGAGCTTTTACTGTGCGAGGAGCGGTTTTGCTGCGGTTAATAGCCGCTACGGTTCTTCCAATCAGAAACCGATGGATATATCACAGTGCCAGACCGGGTTAATGGCTCCCACTGCATGGCTCACCGTGGGGAACTTATAAGGACATTGATACACCGGACCAAAGACAATAAGGGCCACATTTTGTATTAATTTTATCCTACATCATTTAGTTGCATAGATTATAGAAGAAATAATAGTTCAAGGCAATGAAAACATTATTTTTTTCTCAAGTTTTTGTTACGTAGATTGAGCTGGTAATACTGATGGCAAAGAATTCAGTAAAAATATCAACCTTTCTCGCGGAATAGTACAATGAGAAAGTTATTCACATATTATTATCACTTGTTAGACTTCTTAGATTAAATTCGTTCTTATTATTAAAATATCTGTAAAATATCTCATTATTTTATGTGCATATCTCCCTCCAACGATCACTTTTGACCAGCATTTTAATTTTCCATTGATATAATTGTTAAATAACACTTGGTTTTAGCGCTGCCTTTAAATTGTGTAAGCAATAATATTACAAAATTAGGCAATATAATCATTTTTTATGATAAATAAATACTTTCCTTAAATACTATCTATAAAATAGCATTCTAGACTCGACCAAAGTTAGTCTGTTTAAATTTAGAAATAAACTAGTGGGGTGTATGGCATCGTACCTTAAGGCTAATTGCTGAAACTTCTCATACCAAAAATTATTTTTTTTTTAAAAGATTAACATTCTTGAAAAAAAAAAGTCAGAAAAAATTAGATTTCTGAGAAACTATAAATTTTTAACAAAAAGGAATATTTGAAAAAGAAAAAAAAAAAAGGAATATTTGAAGAAAAATTTATCTTGAAATATTTTGGAAATTCAGAACAATTTTTCAAAGCAATCGTACTGCTTTAACTGCATAGAGACGAAATGTCAAAGCGCGTAAGCGCCGCGTCGCCGTCTAACGGATAAACATTGGTACGGAACCCATAGGAATGTAAACAAAATTTATACTTATTGTTAAAATCTCTATAAAATATCTGATAATTTGATGTGCATATGTCTAATGATCATTTTTGACCGCCAAATGGCATTTTTTTTATAATTTTTTTTGACTAGATCTCCGAAACTGCAAGACCCGCGTTTATGAAAATTTGATCAGTTCTTCATCTTGTTAATACAAGTAAAATGTTTTTTGAATTATTAAAATCTGACGCTCCGTTCTCTTAAAAACTGAGTTACCGTTTTTGGCTCTTTTTGCCCCATATCTTCGGAACGGCTAGACCTGTCTTCGCCAAAAACTAATCAGCACATCTCCTTATCAATACAAATCGAATGCTTTTTGAAGTATTCAAATTGCTTCATCCGTGTTCCCGAAATCGTCGACGAAAATTTGTATCCGAACACACACATATACACGCATACACACATACACATACATCCATTTTTTCTAAGGAATGCCAAAATGTTCAGAAGGTTTTGAATCGTAAAGATATATAAAAATTTTCATTTTCGATTTTTTTGCGATTACTATAACTTGCCCTACGCGAAGTTACAAAAATTCTGAAAAGTAAATACATACTTAAATTTCAGACCTTTATGAGTATGACTATGTTGAACCTAATTGATTGATTGTAAAAATATCTTATTTAAGTGAAACTATTGAAGATTACTTGAATTGACTAGTCCAACCTTTACCAAGGCTTGAAGCCAAAGTAAAATTATTTAAATTTGTTTATTTTAGTGATATGCAATAAATTAAGTGAGAGTGAAATTCAAAATTAGACTTTCGACATTTAGCGGACAAAATTGATTAAAGTTCTGACACCGATTTCACATAATATCCTATATATCTTTGCCAACTGATTATTGCATCTTTAATGGTCTAGTGGTAAAACTTTATTAATATTTTGTGATGGAATGATATCTGTTAACATAGAAAATATAGAATAAATAAAATAAATAATAAAATAGTAATATTGCAAAGATTTTGTCATTTAGCATAAAATATAATTACAAAAAATTGCATTTTTGTAACGATGACACATCATGTCTAATATAGCATAAAATTGATTTTGCATCAAATTTCATTTTATATAACGTATTTTAGCTTGTTCAAAGTGTACTTCGTATTACATCTTTCAAATTTTACTTCATTATTTTATGAATTACTCTAATTATTTTTATTCGTAAATTGTTCCCTGGCCTGGACCAGTGTTCCCTGAATAAATCCGGCTTAAATATGCAAGTACCTACATATGTGTCTCAATGTCTCGGAAAAGCTAATGGGAAGCAGAGGTTCCGAGAATGTTCTACTAGCGTAATGGTTTATGTGCAAATTACTGCATTGATACACTACGTGGATCAGAACTAATTTTCGAAACGAAAGGTTGATCATCCGGTGAAATTTTTGTGGATTATGCATTATACTTAGCAAAAGAATTAATGTAAAAAATTGTCTTTATATAAATAAAAATATTTCTATTCAAGAAGCGATTGGCTCTATTAATCATCGTAAGGCTGACACGAAGTGTTTCGTTGGGAAAACAATTTTCATCTTAGCATCCAATATTTCGTTGGAAATTGACGGCCAAATCACATCTCAAAGGTTATATGAGATAGCTATCAAAATGATGCCACTATAAATGCATACGTGCTATTATTTTTCGTATTGATTTTTCGTTATCTGCTGTTATATCTGTACATATAAAAATGGTTTCCTATTGGATGATACTAGTCCTGCATGGGCGTGGAAATCGTGGAAAAATGTTTTGTTTTCCCGACAGATAATATTGCGATTTCATATCTCGATATACGTGCATGAAATAGATACGACCGATATTACACAAAAGACCGATATCTAGACATATTTCTGTATATTGGATATTAATAACATATTGTATCATTTCGCGTATCACTTTCATTTAGAAAACTGTGATTGGAGTCACGTTTTAACAACCTTATTGGTATTACTTGTGAATTACTTCGGGGAAATGAATCGTTGGGAACTAATTTTCTTTCGTCGATTTTCATTATTATGAAAAGAAATTTGTCACCTTGAAATTGATGTTTTAGTTTTGTGATGCATTTATGAGGTATCGGGATCCATTTCTCTTTTCGATTGTGTAGAGTTCTACGTATATATCATTTGCATATATATTGTATTTATGAGTATAATAGAGACACATTTATGTTGTTAGTTAATAACTTTGACATTGTCAATGGGTCGTAACTTTTAGTCATTAATGGTATATATAAATATAACCGCAAACATAAATAGCTACTAAAAGCATATTGTTTATTAGAAACTAATAGCATCCAATCAGAAGACTGCATGCATTACTGGTTGAATGTATTTTTTTAAAAATAATTTAACGACTGTTAGAATTACTTTCACTTCAATTCTATCGTAAAAGTATAATAGAGAATTTCAATAAACGATTAACAAAGGTTATTCTTAAACTAGAAATTCAGACCATAGGAGGATATTTTTTTGGAAATTTTCTTTATGGAGCTTGTAATTTGGTTTTTAATTTTGTTAATAGAAAGTGAACCATTAACATAGCTTTCTTTTTATTTACAGCTGAAGCCGATGGAAGTAGCGAATCTAGCGATCGAGGTTCAGATGTCCTGACCTGTGGATCATGTCAACGGCCATTTGCACTGTCAGATATCGTCAGATTTATTCAGCACAAGGTGCTCACTTGCCATAAGGAACCTTACGCTTCCTGCCACACGCAAGGTAAGCATTAATTTCATTCAACCGTAAAACATTAAACTTTAACTGTACATCGGTCATCTGATGTCAAAATAGATGACAAAAATAGCAAGCAGAATAAAATTCAGAATCGATTTTTTTTACAGGTTCTACAAATGATCGGGACTCCGACGACTCTGGTCTTCCTCTTACCTCAAGGCGACAATGTTCGTCAAGGGCGAGTGGCAGTAGGGTCCAAACGCCTCCTTTGGCTAGTCCAGCTCTGTTACCACCAGCCGATCTCTTGTCGGATGGCGGAGCTTCGAGTACGCCGAAAAGACTGCTGGATGGTAAGTGTCAATATTGGTGATACAACGTAGTTCCACGTGAACTTTCATTGTTGTATTCATGATTGATGAATGTTAACTCTTGATCGTTCTAAAGGTTATATAATCTATTACTGTTATTGATCTACAATTTTTAATAATTTAAATTTATCACTTACCTTTCAGAAACCAATGAATCTCACTGTCCGAAGCGAAGAGCATCTTCGAGTCCTATAGATCCTTGCAGTCCTTTGGATCCTGCAGGTTTAGTAAACAATGAGACCGGTGAAACCAAAGTCAAACAAGAACGCAGCGATAGCAGTTCAGGTCAAGATGATGGTCTCAGTCCTCCACATCCCGCCAAAAGATGTCGAACCGCCATGGCGGACGCGGAGTCAAACACTATGCATAGTGGTAAGTTGATATGATTATTAAAAATCTTTGATTTATTATTTGTTAAATTTGGCATTTAATATTCTTGGACATATCGTTTATAATTCCTTAACCCTGCAATAGTTGATCTTTTTTTAACATCTGCACCTATTTCATATGGAACATCAGCAAGTTTTTGGTAGTACTTTGAATGTCTAAATCGAATGCCAATCCAGTGATTGGCAGGACGTCTGGTTATGAATTCATTTACAGATAATGAAATTTTTTGAACTTTAACTAATTTTAGTAATCGATATTTTTCCCTCTATGGTTATTCTATATATTTGATATCAAGCCTTTCATCAAATCAAGCCGTGCGATCCACGCAACCGGTCACCGTGAAAACATCTGCTTATCGGCTTACACCGTTAAATAGTAAATGGTTTCTTTTTTTCTGTCTAAAATAAAAAACACGCTCGTGCAAAGAACAAAACGAACGAAATGGGGCGAAACGGATAAAAAATCAAGCATTCACGAAATGAATTAGTTCAGTTCTCCATGATACACATATTATACATACACTCAAAATTTTGATAAAGGTGATACTGCCTCCTGTGAAGTCGTGGGACATTTATTGTCAAATGCAGTAGTAGAGGGTGCATTGATGCTTTCGAATGAAACTACCCTGTAATGCACTATAGAGTTGGACATCGGCAATCGAGGTGGAATAATGTAATAATATTAGATATTAAAAAATTACTCAATTGATATTAAATAACAGTTATTAATTAAAAAAATTGAATATTGAATATTTCTCTATAAGAATATTATAATTTTGACACCTTGACTTAAAGTCAATGAACACTTTTGAGCATTAATTTTATTGCATATTCTATTTTTTTGACTATAAATATCTTCTCTGGGTAATCCAAGCTAAGGTCATGCTATATATGTTCCAGAATATTTATAAATATTCTGGAATTTTCTACCCATTCCACTTGCAAAATTATTGAGCGATCCCGAAACAAACAAAACTTTTTACCATCCTTTATCTGCTGAATCCAGAGTACTTTACATCCAGTTAGCCACTGCCACTATGATATTCGGACTACCCTTTAAACTTTTAAACTTTTAATAGGGTCACTCATGCATATTAATTGCGAAAAGCATCGTTTCCTGAATGTTGTCATGTGCCCTCATGTTGTGAAGGTATACTCAACCCATCCTGTAGATAAGGTTTGTTATCAATTTGGAAAAAACGATTCTGTAATAATACGATAATAATTAGATAAATTCGATTCGAACCCTAACTACACATAGTAAAATCTAATAAATTATGTATCTATTTATACTAATACTTATATAACTATTAAAATTTATGCTAAAAAATTAAAATTGATCCTGTAATTTATATTAATTATTAATTCATTTAGAACATGTTATACATTTATAAGGTACCGATATAGCAGATTTTACTTTGAACTATGCCTAACCAATTTTTTTTCTCCATTTTTTTTTAATAATATCGAACATCATATTTCAGTTAAATATACTATGATATTCATCTTATATGTAGAATTTTTATAATTTTTCTATTAATAACAAATTTATGCAATTCTATGTAATTCAAAAACTATGCCTGAGTACATCGCAAAATATTTGTACAATGGGATGCAAAAACCGATCGATTATTGATACATCTAGTTTTTTCGATGGTAGCCTTTGTGTCGCCAATATGTAAGAATTATTTTAAAAATGTTTTAGTGGATAAATTTAAGCTTTACTATAATTTCAGAAAAATCTGAATCGAATTTCAATGAAAAACGTTCACAAAAAAATACGTTAATTGATCAGCTATTGATCAAACCAATTTCTTATGAATTGTATGTATTTTTTATAAATCTAATATAGTTCAATAATAAATTTTAGGTGTATTTAGTTGAAATTCAATCAAATTCACAATATTTTCAAATTATATTTTTCCTCCAACGAATTAATCGAGTCAGTATACCCGCGATACTGGACAGCGCAAACCGGTGCTCCTGTCAACAATAGTTCCGCGACTGATACAAAGCGGGGGATGCATCGTTTTATTTTATTAGGTCGGTTTCCTGTCATGCTGCCATGCTTTTGGCTACTACAATACTTTATATTTTTTCTTTGCTGAAAATCCTTTGCAACCATAATGTTATGCAAAAAATATAATCGTTTCTGCAATGGAATAGTCTTTTGTTGAACAAAATATACCATCCCGATTCCTTACCAGCCAAGGAAATAATTGATGAATAATTGACAACAAATTTTTGTATTTATTACAAATTGTCATATTATACCTCAATATAGTCCTTTACCCACGTGTGATTTTCCACCCTATGTTTCCCAAAAACAATCACCGCGAACTTTTATCTCTTCGCAAACCAGTGGGGTTTTTGCTTTACGTATACCAACTGTTTCAATCTATTGTCAATCATATCGGTAACTGATATATGCTGATAGCGTTACGAAAATATATAGTCTCGGAAACAAAATATGATTGCGGAGAAGATTCAAAGAAAAATCGACCGGTTGCGGCATTTCTGTCTTTGAAGAAATAATATGTTGCAGTAAAAGATGTTTTTTATAATTTTGACCAGAAGAAAATTATATATATTTTAAATCCATTGTTTGGAATAGAACTCAGAGTTTTGATTGTTGCCGTAAGAAATCGAAGTACTGATTAATATTAATGCCATTTTTGAAATAGACGTTTGGTACCTAAGAATTTGTAATTGTATTTAGTAGGTATTTATTTTATTATAATGACGTCATTATCAATTAGTATTTACATGCAAAATAAAGCCTAATCCTTTCTCTATGAATGTCATCCATCGACGACATCCACTTGTGTACCTGTGCATACGAGTGTCGTCCATGGACGACATCTGCATTACGTACTGTGTGTTAAAATTTTGGTTACCTAACAATTTGTAATCATATTTAGTAGGTATTTATTTTAATATAATGACGTCATGTCAATTAGTATTCACATGCAAAATAAAGCCTAATTCTTTCTCTACGAATGTCGTCCATCGACGACATTCACTTGTCTATCTGTGCATACGAGTGTCGTCCATGGACGACATATGCATTGCGTGCTGTGTATTCTTTGCTTTAAAATTTATCACTATTTTGCGTTTATTTGAAGCATAAATTTAAGTTTTTTATCATATTTTTATTGATAATGATAAAAACATCTTAAAAGATATCATTGTGTCTTGTCAGTACACTGGCACTAGATACTAATGGCCACGCCGTTCCGTATAGCAGCGACACTCCTGCTGAAAACACTCTCATAGCGAAAGGGATAATTAGTACCCTACATAAATATTATATAATATATCTAAATCCGTTTTAAATAAGATTTTGGTGCACGAAAACTGCTCTCGTTTTATTCTTATAATTTTTATGCAGACTGACAAGGAGAACCCTTTTGGGGGCGTTCATTAATCACGTGACGTTTTTAGGGGAAGGGGGGAGGTTGACAAAAATTACGAAACATCACGTGAGGGAGGGAGGGGTATAATAAGATACCATGTGTATTTATTTTTTAACTAATTTTTTTTAAATTCAAATATTTACACAAAAAAAATCAAATTTTACAGTTTTATCACGTAATTAAAAATACACGTGATGTTTGTTGGGCGAGGGGGGGTAACTGTGAATATTTCCATGTATCACCGAGGGGGAGGGGAGATCCAAAAATCCTTAAAAACTCGCTCACGTGATTAATGGACTTGGTTTTGATGAAACTTGGCATGATGATATATTTGGTCCCCAAATTGACCACCATAAAATAGAGGCCTATGAAAAGCAGTTCAATTATAATAAATATTTAAAATGTCTACGCAGTATACAACGCTTGAAACGCTATCTCTTAAATATGACAGTATGGCTTAGCTTAGTTTTGGTCGTTATTTAGCCAAGTTGGATAAACAAATCGAATCAGAATTTCCTTTATATTGAATCAAACATTACATTGCGCCTTCAAATTTTTATTATCCCTTTTTTACCAACTGATCTTAAGATTTCCTCCCAGCATACATAATATCTTGATTCCATTATTATTTAAAGTAAGATAAAACCAACCGACTCATGTGTTATTACAAAAGAATCATGAATGCACATACACATACACTTTGGAATATTCTTTCTACATATTCATTTATCTTATCCTTCTGCGAGGAGTAATCTGATATGATCGCGTGCGTATGCGGTGAACGGAGACAGCTGGACCCGCATTCATAAGATCTTCAATAACAAATATTACACACGATGCCCGCCCCAAAGGGCGAAAGGGAGATATAATTAAAATTTTAACATTGGAATAGAGTGATTTAAAAAACACAGGATCTAAGTTGCATTTAAAAAACGGCGGTTGGTAGTAGAACAATTTTACCATCATTAGTAAACGTACCAATTTTCCGAATGCCAAGGGTACTAGCTTTGTAACTTGCAAATAATTTGCGAGCCTACCGTGGTGTAACCGGTAAGGACGTAGACAAGTACTAACTAGTCCCAGGTTCGATCCCAACCTTGGCCAAGCTCGATATCAAGCAGTACGATATCCAATTTCCACTTAAGTTTAAAGATCCAAGATATAATCACATTTCAGGAACATTGCTGCATCGCATACAAGCTAACACTAGTAAATATATAGTACATAGTACATGCAAAGAAGAGTGGTTGTCCTCTTGAAGAAAATAATCAGTTAGGAGCGAAAGTCAGAAAGCTCTCTTTTATTGTTTTAAAACACATTGAATGCATTAAAAACTACTTTACTCCATAATAATTTCAACTAGTTTTAAATTATATAACAATTATCTCCTCTCGATAAAATTCGTTCAAATCTTAACCCATTTGGATTTCTCAATAGGGTATGATGATAATAATTTTTTCCACCGTTTTTTCCTCTACTACACTAAGTACTGGCACACTTTTGACACACCTCTGTCAGGCGCGTGTCAGACCAGCTGCATTTACATAAAATTATCTAACCGTTTCGA